GTGGAGAGTTCCGAACCCCCCGACCTCGGGAGACCCCGAAACGCCGCCGACGGACCCCCCAACAATGCGTTCAAAGCGGGTTCTGCGCACGCCAGCCCCCCCAAAAATCGTCACAGAGACATCGAGTCATCTACGTTGGGGGGCGAACTCCAAGATCATGGAGTCCACCCGTGGACCCGCCGCTGCTTTTAAGGTCCTGGAGTCCCAACCCGTAACCCACTGCTGCCAAACCTGTGGCCCTCAACGCCACATCTAAAGGGTTTTTGAAGTCCCTCCAGGGCCGACGACTCCACCGCGTCCCCGGGCAACGCTTGACAACCCTTTGGGTGAAGACATTTCTCCTCAGATCCATCTTAAACCTCCCCCCGGTGCCACTTGAGGCCGTTTCCTCTTGTCCCATCGCCTCTTTTTGGGGGAGAAGAGACCGACCCCCACCTCTCTCCCACCTCCTTTCGGGTAGTTATGGAGAAGGTCATCTCTCAGCCTCCTTTTCTCCGGCCTCAACACCTCCAGTTCCCTCAGCTGCTCCTCAGAAGACGTTCTCCAGACCCCTCACCAGCTCCCTCGCCCTTTTCCGGACCCTCTCCACCACCTCTTTCGTATCATGAGGGGCCCAAAACTCAACTCGGCGCTCCAGGTGGGGCCTCACCAGCCCCGAGGACGGGGGGACCATCACTGCCCCCCACGGTCCCGCCGGCCACGTTAATCCTCATCCCGGCCGTTGGCCTTCTCGGCCACTTGGGCACACCACTGGTTGACGTTCAGCCGGTTGTTGGCCAACACCCCCAAGGTCCTTCTCCACCGGGCGGCTTTCCAGCCGCTCCGCCCCACGTCTGTAGCGTCCGTGGGGTTGTGTTGACCCAAGCGCAGGAACCGGCGCTTGGCCTTGTTGAAGCTCATCCCGTCGGCCTCCACCCATTGGCCGGATCCCACCCGTAGGACCTTCCTACCCTCCAGCAGGTCAACACCAACCCAACTGGGAGGTGTCCGCAAACTCATTGAGGGCGGCACTCGATCCCCTCCTCCACGTGGTTGACGGAGACGTTAAAGAGAACCGGTCCCAGTACTGAGCACTGGGGAACACCACCGGTGCCCGGTGCCCCAACTGGATTTATCTCCATTCCCCACCGCTCTTTGGGTGGTGTTTTTCACCCAACGAAGAGCGCACCGGTCCGAGCCAGGAGCGACCGGTTTCGCCAGGAGAACGCCGTGGGCAAACGGCGTCGAAGGCTTTACCGAAGTCCGAGTAAACAACACCCGCGGCCTCTTCCTCATCCGCTTGATGGGTCACCTTGGGGTGGAAGGAGAGATCAGGTTTGTCGAGCAGGACCTGCCTTTCGGGAACTGGTACTGACTGGGCCGGATCGCCCGGTTGTCCTACGAGCGCGTTGCGTGACGGCACTTGGGATGATCTCCTCCACGACCTTCCCCGGCACCCAGGTCCAACCTGAGAGGTCGCTAGTTCCTCCCGCGTCCTCCTTCCGCCTCTTCTTCCCACTGGGCGTCACACCTTTGCCGACCTCCAGCCAACTGGGACCTCCCCAGTTAGCCAGGACCTCCTCTCAATGGCGGAAAGCTGCTCGGTGAGCGTTCCCACCAGCACCCCGGGGTGGATCCCACCCGGCCCCAGAGACTCGGGTGTGTCTAAGGGCCGTAGAAGGTCCCTCACCATTTCCCCGTGAATTACGGGGACTCCGTTCCAGTCCCCCACCCAGCACAGGGGTCTGAGGACTCACCGAACAACTGGTCTTACTGGTAAAGACCGAGGCCAAGGCGACATTGAGCCCCTCAGCCTTTGCCTCATCCTTCGGCGCCGCGTTTCCACCTTCCCGGGGAGGGAGATGCTCCTCGTTCCTCCTTTTATGGTTAATATATTTCTAAACACTTTTCTTTTTGTTTTTCATTGTCATTAACGCCGAGGGGTCTGAGGACTCACCGAACAACTGGTCTTACTGGTAAAGACCGAGGCCAAGGCGACATTGAGCCCCTCAGCCTTTGCCTCATCCTTCGGCGCCGCGTTTCCACCTTCCCGGGGAGGGAGATGCTCCTCGTTCCTCCTTTTATGGTTAATATATTTCTAAACACTTTTCTTTTTGTTTTTCATTGTCATTAACGCCGCAACTGGGGTGGAGGTCCGGTTGAGCTCCGCCCCTTCGAATTTGCTC